GTATGCTCAAGGGGACTCGAGGCTCTGGTGGAAATCCATGTGTGGAGGTTGTCTGTGGGGACAGATCTTGGCCCACAGGAGGCTGGCATCCTTGCGTAGAGGAAGATGCTCGAACTCCGAGTCAGCTCAGTGTCCCAGCCTTGAAGACACCCTGGGGAAGCCTTTCGAGTCTCCAGCCTCGGTTTCTTCATCACCAGTTTGTGGTGTGATGTCCAGATAAGACTTAGCCAAAAGATCCCACCCCCTGCCAGTTGTGTCATCAGGTCTTCTTGCTGGCACGAGGACAGGATTCCTGTTTCCTGATGGTTGTCAATCCAGTTGCACATGACACCTGTCACCCTGTTTCTTCTCCATCCCTCCGGTCTCCATCAGCCGATGGAAGAGACCCCTCAGTTCCTCCTCCACGCCCAGGCCCAGGACCAGATTTCCCTGCCTGCTGCGTGTCCCGTGTCTGCTGATGGTGTCAGCCCCCAGCTTTATAGGAAACGCAGAAGACCCAGCCGAGCAGACCCACTTTTTGCAGGGGCCGCGGGAAGCGTGTGCAGAAGTAGCTGTAGAGAAGAAGGCAGTGCTTAGTCTTGTATGTTCCTGACCGAGAAATACTGGCAGCTTAAACCTGTAAGCCGATTGCATCATATTCTTAGCAAACAGCAGCATGATTATATGCTTTGGCTATAAACTTCCTCATTGGATGACGTGAAAGTTGGCTTTTAGGAGAATTCAAAAATACATATTCCACCAACTCCAACTTCACCTTGCAGCAAGATCTATCCGTCTGAGTTGTAACCATTTGTTGGAAAATGCATGTCTTGTTGTTGCTGCTTTTTTCTTTTCAGGGGAGGGTCATACCCAACAGTGCTCAGGGCTTGCTCTGGGAACCATATGTAATGCTGGGGGTTGAACCTTCTGTGTGTAAGGCAAGTGTTTTAAGTCCTGTGCTATCTCTCCAGCCTACTTCTTAGAAACTTGCTGATTTAGTTAAATTGGGGTGTTTGTGTGTTGCTACAACACTTAAAGGCTATTCTCTTTAGAGATAAGCCTGTACTCCCCGACCCCCCAAAACCTTGTTGCCTTGAAAACCAACACCACCCACAGATTAGAGCGCCCTGGGAAATAGTTTTATTTTTAAAATTCATTAGTTCCTTACAGTTGTCTTTATAAGTCGGACCTCTTGTGCCCACGACCAGCATCTCAGTACCATCCGTTGCCCCCACAAGACCTTCCATCCAATCCTCCCACCAGCGCCCTTCTCCTCCCTCTGGTCACCTTGGTGTTCACCAAGCCTTAGAATTAGTTTTCTTCTTTTTTCGTAAAGGCTGTTTTTTTGTGGCTCAGTTTCTTGAGGGATAGGTTTGCCTCTATTTCTAAATATCTCTGCATTGGGGCTGGAGCAGTAGTCCAGCGCATAGCGCTCTTGCCTTGCACGCAGATGGCCTGGGTTAGGGTCCAGGCACCACGTACGCATCCCTGAGCACAGCCAGGAGTGAGACAGGGGTAAGCCCTGAACACCGCAGGCCATGACCCCCAAACTAAAATAGGTAAATATCCCTAACTACCTTTTTCTTAACAGCAATTCAGTGGAGTGGGGAGTTCTGAGATTCTCATGTTTCAGAGCTGCTCTTTCCGTGGTGGAAATGAGGTGTTTTCTTAGCTCTTTTCTGCAGACTCACTCTCCTGTGTGCAGTATTGTCCAGCTTGTTCAGGGAAGTTGTTCTGCAGCTTGTTAGCTGACAACCAGCTAAGAGGCTCGGATTAACCTGAGGTAGCTTGTCGTTATCAGCACTCCAGATATGAATTTGGCAGGATTTACACCCTTCTCGTTGCAGATTAGTATCTAATAAAATGTTCTTGTCAGTGATGCTACTTAATCTGAAATTTTTTGAAGTTGAAGAAGACTTCTTTTTCCTCCCCTTCCCGGCCTTTTGCTTTCAAGAAATAGATTGATTTCTTAGCCCAGTGGTGTCTGCAGCTTGACCCCTGCTGATGCTTAAAATAGACAAAAATGCATCCCCCGTTTATGACTCCTGTCGTTCCGGGAGGAGCTGCTTCGCTTCTTGCCATGGGTTGTGAGTCTGCCGAGCAAGGCCTGCGCATTCCCACGAGCAGGTTTGATGGCATTTGTGGCAGGGGCCGTGGGGAGAGGAGAAGGGGACGGGGTGTGTCTGCGGGCCGGGGAGCTGCACGCTGAGCTGAGCCGTGTGGGAGTAACGAAGGCAGCGAGGAGAGGGAGTGATCTGCAGGAAAAGCAGGTTTGCCGCGTGTCAGATTCGTAAGCTGGCTTTACCTTGGTCTGAGCCTGGATGCCGTTGATGAAATCTGCCCGCCCAGTGCCAGCGGGACCCGGGACTCGATTGGTTTTCTTAGGGTTCCCTCCCGCGGACGCCTCCCTCCCCGCAGCCTTGCCTGCCTGCTCCGTGGGGCTGGGCTGCTGGAACCCGTAAGCTTGGCACCTCTGGCTTGTTCCACAGCGTTGGTGAGGTGAGAGACCGGGCCAGGCCAGTAGCCCTGTCCGGCTTGCTGTTTGCACAGGCCCTGACACACACACACACACACACACACACACACACACACACACACACACACACACAGAGCTCCCCCCGCACACACATACAAGAGGCCCAGCTATGTGAAATGACAGGAGCCTCTGCATTCCTGTGAACCCAGATGGAATGAACCCGCTCCCTGTGTGCTCCCGGCAGCCGGGTTCTTTCTCGGTCTGTCATCTCGGGAAGGGGCGACTCGCCACCCAGCTCCCGAAGGTCGGTGGTTCATTTCAAAATCCGCCCATTGTGTCTCCTGACTGGAAAACCAAGTGGGAGAAAAAAAAGAAGACAGTGTTGTGTTTTCCGAACTGGCACTGGCAGACACACTGCCGGGCGCCGTCCCTGCCCATGGGTGGAGCAGTGGGGTGATGTGCTCCCCGATGCTCATTGGCCCATCCTCCACCCTCGGCTCTCCTGGGAAGTCAAGTCTGGATTTTGTCTGCTAGTTACCTTTAGCCCAGTGGGCAGGAGCGCAGGACCCGGCATGTGACTGATGCCCGGAGAGACCTTGGCAGGCCGGGTAAGCGCCGGCTGAGCTATTCCAATCCCGCCTTTGCAGTTTCTGCGGGCAGTGTGTCACCGCAGTCAGCCGGCCGTGGCTCCCATGGTGAGTGGCTCTGTAAGTGCGGGCGCTTTTCCCCCCGAATTAGGACCTGAGGTTCTTTGTCGTCACGCTAAACCTGGAAATCGTGTGTGTGTGTGTGTGTGTGTGTCTGAGCATGTGTATGTGTCTGTGTCTGTGCATATGCGTGTGTGTCGATGCCTGTGTGAGTGTCTGTGTCTGCATGTGCGTGTATGTGTGTCTATGTCTGTGTGTGTGCGCGCGCGTGTGTGTGTGTTCGCAAGCCTGTGTGTCCCTTCATACACAAACACAGACCTGCTGTAATCCAAGACAGCATGAGTGGAGAAGATAAATGACTGTTGCTCCCATAGCCTAGATGGCCAGTTGAAACGCCTGATACTCTGCTCCCCTGTTAAAATACATCTTTGCATCCAGGGGTAGAGAATTAAACTGAAAAGGGGGCTGGTATTTAGGGAGGTAAAATCTTTCCCGTCTGGCTTCCTGGCTGTTACAAAGAACGGAGAAAATAACTCAGAATCTCCATCTGAGCCTGGAGAGTTCAAAAGTAGATACTTGTTGTATGGCCGGGAGCTCAAGAGAGAAGGTGTTCCCATCATTGGCTGGAATCTCTTTCCCTTTCCTACTAGACAGATTTGGGCAGCAGGTTTCTCATTGAAACCTTCCAGTCAGAAGCAGTCCAATTGTACCATGGTTCTTCTCTCTGTGGACGTGTCTGTAAATTGTAGCAGAGGCTGTAGTTGCACACTGGGTTATTTGCTTGATTTTCTTCCACTTGTTTTGGTTCCTTGAACTTGTTTGTCAGTGCCATGTGGTCAAGCATCAATTTGTAGGACCTTTGTACTGACTGTTCTAACAGGATAGGTCAGCCCTGTATCCTTGACAAATCAGAGTATTAGTCAAGAAAAAAAAATAATAGGACTTGGCATTTATGAGAGTACTTTCTGTTCCTCATTAATCCTAAACTCTGCAAGTCCATCCGTCATTAAATGCCCTAAAGTCAGATGCGATTCGTTTATCCACTTTTGATCAGGACACAGGGACACAGAAGTGAGGTGATATATACCAAATTGGCCAGCTAATAACCTGGGGAGGCAGGATCTGGCTCTCGAATCTGGGCTTCGTCTTCTTCTTCTTCTTTTTTCAATATCAATTTTTTCAAATAAAACACAGTGAGAATCTGGGCTTTTTAAATACTGTCCCATTCCTTTTAACGACTCTGCTTATCTCTCTAGATAAGTTATGGTTGTGTTAATGTCTCTGTACACTGATTTTGTATTATTATTATTATTTGGCTCTAATAGCTTAAGTTTTATAAGAGAAAAAAATTTATCAGAGCAGCCAGTTACAGGTTTCCTTGCATTCATGTTGCTGCTTTTTTTATATGCCGCAGAGAGTGTGGAAACAGGGAAAGGCACCCTGAAATTTGGATTTGTCTGTTTCACTGGTTGGGTGAGTTTGTTTTTGAGATTCTTGGGGTGAAATGGAAAGGGTGCGCCCTTAGTAATGTGGGCTTGTTCCTGCTCCTTCACTCTTACTCCCATTAACCCGGAGAGTGGACGGTGAGTCTATCTGACGCGGTGGAAGAGACTAGAAACAACATACCAGGGAATCAGAGAGCAATTCGGACCACTGGCTGGAGGCTTTTACGGCAAGAAATTCTCCCTCGGTTCTTAGATGTGCCTCCTGAGACAAGACGAGTGAGAAAGAGAAGTCAGAGGAATTCTGAAAGTGTCCCTTGACAGTGGAATCTGACAGCCAGGAAAAGGCCCAGCCTTTGGGTTTAACACCTGCAGGGGCCCGGCCAGGGACGGAGTTAGACGGCTGACCTCAGATGGGGGCCTCACGGGAACACCTGTTCTTCTCTCTCCCGACAGAACTCGACCTAGGGAAGCACCAGCCCCACACCATGCAAGCCAACGAGCTGCTGCGGTATTTCCGAATGCCCGACCTGGTGGACTTCCGGCAGTACATCCGCACTGTCCCATCGCACACACTCATGGGCTTCGGGGCCTTCGCAGCGTTCACCACTTTCTGGTACGCCACCAGACCCAAGCCCGTGAAGCCGCCCTGCGACCTCTCCATGCAGTCAGTGGAGGTGGCGGTAAGTCGGGAAGTTGCAGGGGTGAGTGGGGCCCTGCACGCTCTCTGCTTTTCCCTCCCAGGTTCGTTCCGCCCCGTGGATCGTGATATTACGCAAGTCATCAGAAGGGGGCACACCCGGGCCCCTTGGTTACAGAAATGAACAGGAAGGGAAGGAGAAAAACAAAGGGGAGAAGAGGCAGATGGGAGGGAGCGGGGACAGAGATGGGGCCTCACACACATCCGTGGTTTCTGGAAAGATCTAAATCGCAGACCCACACCACTGACAGCAGGAGATCCAAAACACAACAAGCAAATGAAAGAAGGAGCCTGGCCAGGAACCTGGGGACCTTGGTGGAGGGAGATTGACACTCGTGGTGGGATGAGCGTTGCATGCCTGAGACTTTATTATGAACAACTTTCTTAAAAAGAAACAAATAAATAAATAAAAAGGAAAAATTGAAAGGAAAAGGAAGATCCCAGTCGAATGTCTTGCTTGCCAAGGACACTTTGTAAGCTGAAATGCACGCAGCAAACAGAAGTTTGGCGGGGATAGTAAATGGAGGTGAAGGTTGAGAGGCAGGCAGAGACAAAGGCAGGGGGTGTCGGTTGTGTGCATCCATTGTCACACGGAACTCATCCCAGATGTCACACGGGGGCTTCTTTCCCGAGAAAGGCATTGGCGTGGGCCCAGGGGATTCCAGCAGGTGGGAAGTGAGACCTTCAGGCCTGCTCTCCTGGGGGTCATGGTCCAGCAAGGAAAGTGTGGTCACTGCAGGCCCAGCTGATATTCAGAAGTCATTCCCCAGCTGTTGAAGGGGATTCTGGGATTGCACATTGTGATAGCCAGACCCAGAACTGACCAGAACAATGTGGATGCGGAGTTCCATCATGGGACATTAAAAGAAACCCAGACATCCAAAAGGCCTCTGAGGTGTGTGGTCGAGTGCCATGGCTCTCATGGTTGGGTTGTGTTTAGCTCGGGACAAGGTCAGTGTCATGAGAATCATCACCACCACCTATGTTCCACAGTGAGGCCTCTGTGCAGGGGGCAGCACACAGAAACACAAAGACCTTTTTGGGAGAGGGAGTACTCGAGAAAGGGCAGTTCCCTCACATAAGGCCAACGCAGGTTCAATCCCCAGCAACGATATCATCCACTGAGCACTGCGCGAAGTGACCCTTGAGCACAGCGCCAGGAGTTAGCCCTCAGCACCACCAGCAGGTGTGGCCAAAACTAAACGAAAGATGCATGTTCTGTGCTCCTGCTCCACTTTTGTTTCTTTCCAGACAGCTTTTCAAGGTTGCTCTGGAATCTTTCCAAGGTTGAACAGAGGAAGAAGCCCATTCTCGGTGGTGCTGGGCCCCTTGACCTACTCTTTGCTATATTCATTCTTGCTCCCTCCAGACTTCCTACTAAGCAATCGTTTTTGTTGTGTGTTTTGTTTTGGTGCTGCACCCAGCTGTGCTCAGGGCTTTGTGTTCAGGGATCACTCATGGCAGGCTTCAGGGAACCATATGCCATGTCAGGGACCAAACCTGGTCAGGCCACAGTGCAAAGCAAGCACCTCACCTGCCTGGCTGTCCCTCCAGGCCCAGCCAGAGAGGTGTTCCAGGATTTATCTCTTTTATCACGTAGACCCTCCCGTTGTTCATCGATTTGCTCGAGCGGGCCCAGTAACGTCTCCATTGGAGATTTTGTTGTTACTGTGTCTGGCATATCGAATACATCACGGGTGGCTTGCCAGGCTCTGCCGTGCGGGCGAGATACTCTCGGTAGCTTGCCGGGCTCTCCGAGAGGGGCGGAGGAATCGAACTTGAATCAGCCATGCTGGCTGCGTGCAAGGCAAACGCCCTACCGCTGTGCTATCGCTCGTCTACTGCTTTGTGACGGGGCTTGTCTATCTTCCCCAGGCTGGAGGCTGCAGAAAGAAGTGCAGACCCAGTGGGAGCCTGGTCCGTAGCAGTGGGTTACCTAGGGAGTTGTAGTTCTCGGTTTTGTTTAAAATAGTCCCTTGGATTTGTTCATATGAAACTCTTCAGATATCTAAAAGGTATGTCAGTCTAATTCATGCCCAAATGTAAAAATAGAGTGAGTGATGGCTGAGGGAGGTTGGCTTGGTGCTTTATTTAGAAGCCAAGGAAAACTTACTATTGCCTCTCAGCTAATCACAGACTGCTAATGAGTAGAATTTAATGTTTTCTAAAAGGTGTGAGGTTTGGTGCATCACTTCTCTCCTGGCAGGGGACAGGATGTATCTTGGTAGCAGTTGCCATCACTGTGAAAAGAGAACTTGGCAAGAGTAGCTTTCAGGTATTCATAATTTAACAGCAACTGTTAAAAAATGCCTAATTATCATTGTATGAGAAACTGTGGAGGCACCTAGGATGTGATTTTGAAGTTTTGGCTTAGGATAAAGCCATCGAACCTTGTTAAAATAATCATACAGGTTCTCTGTAGAACAATTTAAAGCTGCAGATAATCAAGAAGAAAACGGCTATAATCGCACACGCGCACACGCGCGCGCACACACACACACACACACATACACACACATGAACACACACATGCTTCCTGATTTTTTTTAAATAGATTTAGCTGTGATTTTCAGAATTTGCAGGGAAAAGAGGCTAAATTTGATTTGCATTTCTAAAAAAGAACTAAAAATACTGCAGTTAGCATTAGCTTTCTCATTCTGATGCTTGGTAATTATAGATGGTCCCATATAGCTCGTATCATCAGATGGACTGCTATGGCAGAAAGAGAAACTTAATCCGTTTCATTAAGTTTTAATCAAGAGCGGGTAGAACTGGCCCTGCTGTGGGAGCTGATGGCCAGCTGGAAATATTGCCGCTCCCTTCCTGTTTTGCAAGCAAGCACCATTTTGCCAGCCTCCCTTGTCGCCCCCTCCCTCATTTGACACACCGTTTTTTCTCCCTTTTCATCCAATCAGTGCTACTTAGATGTTAAGTGAGAGGAGTTTGACTTTGGGGACCGGCTGCGTCATTACCGCGCAGCTGCTACCCTGCTTAAAAAAATAAAAAATAAAAATAAGCGAAAGACACAGCCACGGGCATTCTTTGTAGGAAAAAGCAGCAGAAGTTCTTTATAAGTTACAGTTTTGAAGATTTCTTTCTTTCTTTCTTTCTTTCTTCTTCTTTTTTTTTTTTTTGTGAAGCAAGGTAGTTTTTAATGGCTGAAAGTTACTTAGAGAGATGGTGGGAGAAGGAAAAGGAATATGCGTTCAAGAAAGAACAGGAGCTGGGGCTGGAGTGATAGCACAGTGGGTAGGGCGTTTGCCTTGCATGCGGCCAACCCGGGTTCGATTCCCAGCATCCCATATGGTCCCCTGAGCACTGCCAGAAATGATTCCTGAGTGCAAAGCCAGGAGTACCTACCCTTGTGCATTGCCAGGTTATTCCAAAAAGCCAAAAGAAAGAAAGAGAAAGAAAGAAAGAAAGAAAGAAAGAAAGAAAGAAAGAAAGAAAGAAAGAACCGGAGCTTGGAGGGCAAGCAGAGAGACACAGCAACAAGCAGGCTAGATACACGTGGAAGGAGAACATAGACTCGATTGGGCAAGCCTGGTTTCTAAGATTGCCTTTAACATCACAGCACGGTCCAGGGGATGCACCCATGGCTTAAAACGCCTGCCTTACAAGCCTGAGACCCTGAGTTTGACTTCTGGTGCTGCCCAGATGCACCGAGCATAGTCCCAGCAGCTCTCCTCTAGGACACCTGACCCCGGGGCCGAGTTTCCGATCTCTGACACTGTCAGATGTCCAGCAGCTAGGAGTGTGACCCCCAGCGGGTTCATCGGTGAGAGCAACAGGACGCCTGGCATGCAACACATCAGGTACACGACCACGGTGCATGCAAAAGCCACAGCGGCAGCAAAAGGGAGGCAGAGAAGGAAGGAAAACAAATAAAACCCAAGAGTAGGAAAGAGCATTAGCGCCCAGGCTTTCAACCTACACAGAAAAGGTGGCGCAGGCTTGAGCAGTGGCGTGGGACCGTGCCAGAGCCAGAACCAGATGCCGCGGGGTCTGTCTGAAACCCCCCGAGCCTCCCTAGGCAGCTGTGTCCTGTGTCTCCAGGCCTCTAGCTACTGCTCCCACCTGCAGCACATGGGCCAGGGCTTCGAGTGCATCCCCTCCCTTCTACCTGCTGCATCCCTTTCCCTTCTGCTCCTAACCCGTCCCTCCTGTTCTCGGAGGTTGAAATCCCATGTGTCCTGGCAAAGGTGACCTGAAACCCACAACGACTGGTCAGGGCATAGCAGGGGAAACCACGTGGTGAAGGGGGTTGACACAGACTGGCACATCTCCCGACTCTGTATGGCTAAGACACCACATAGCTACACCGTGTCTGTGGCGGGGGCGGGGGATGTGCAGTTAATGGCCAGTGACTGTTTTCTTCTCTTATACACCAGAAAACTGCATCCATGGGGTGAAATTTGAGCCTCATGTTAGTGGAAAATCCAGAGCTCTATTCTGCTGCCTCCAGGACCGTTGGGAATTGTCTGATGCCTGTAATTCTAGGGGTCCCTGGGGGTGGGGGGGGCGGAGAGCAAGCCCGTGAAGAAAGTCGAGATCTTCCAGATAAACTCCCAGGAGTTGTTGACAGTCACTTGTAAACCCAGAGTCAGGTCTTGGGGTGTGTGTGTGTGGGGGGGGGGGGGTCTCAGGCCGGTTAATGAGTCTGGGAGACTGATGGGATGAAGGGAAGAGGAAAGGGGGCAGGCAAGATGAGAAAGGGCAGATTCTGCAGGGAGGATGGCGATAGATAGGGTCAGACAGTGGGATGGAGGGAGACACAAAGAGGAGCCTTAGAGCTGTGCAGTTGGGTAGGACCAGCAAAACCTGCTTCCTGATGAGTTTCTTCTTCCTGGTCCATGGCCCCAGAACTCGGTGTGACAAGGATGGGTCAGAACAGATGGTGGTGCTGGTGGGGTTTCACCTACAGTATTCAAGGGGCTGAGGCAGCTAGCCACTCTGTGATGTAAATGAGAACCTGGTGATGGT